TGATTCAACAGTCTTACACAATTCACAGCGCTCACCATAGCACATACCCTCCCCAATGTCTATCACTCAGCCACCCCATCCCTCCCACCCCCCACCACTTGAGCAACCCTCAGTTTGTTTCCTGAGATTAAGAATTCCTCATATCAGTGAGATCATATGACACACGTCTTTCTCTGATTGACTTACTTCGCTCAGCATAATACCATGATGGGTTATTTTTAAATAAATTAATAAATAATTTCTCATATGATAAATATTGGTAGGTACAAACCATGTAAACAAAAGCTCTCTGGAGTCCTCAACAATTTTTAAGAGTGCAAAGGGCACCTGAGACCAAATCGTTTGCGAACCACTGCCTTCGACTATAAAAAGGTACTCAGACCTAGCAGTGCATGAATCACAAAGTGAAAAAGTTTCAAAATATATACAGATGCCGGGACGCCTGGGTGGCTCAGTTGGTTAAGCAACTGCCTTCAGCTCAGGTCATGATCCTGGAGTCCCGGGATCGAGTCCCACATCGGGCTCCCTGCTCGGCAGGGAGTCTGCTTCTTCCTCTGACCCTCCCCCCTCTCATGCTCTCTCTCTCATTCTCTCTCTCAAATAAATAAATAATAATATTAAAAAAAAAATATATATATATATATATATATACACACACACACAGATGCCAAAGTCCCAGTCACGTGAGGGACAGCCCCTTCACTGTATTTAAAGAAAAATGTTTGCCAAATGATTCTTATACATGACAAACTTAGAAACCACCGAAACTATCATGGTGATTGTGACAACCTTTGAAAAAGCTATTCATTGCTGCCCCCTAGTGGCAAATTTGCTTTCATTTCTAAAAATAAAATCTGAATAAAATGAAGACCAGAAACTCAGCCAGACACAACATTCTAATTCTGTAAGGAACTCCAGAGGTCATCTAGTCCACTCCCAGTTTATAGATGGAGGCTTACAACAACCACACATCACTGCAATATACTGTGATAAATGATATGCTATGCTTTGGTTAAGTACAGGGTATGAAAAAAAAATACAGGAGGAGGCGTCTATTCCAGACTTCTCTTCCGTCTATCCTGGCTTATGTCCAGGAAGATAAATTTCCAGAGGCAATTACTGTTAAGCTGAAACCTGGAAAGTGGGCAGGAATTAAAGGATGAGGGTATTCCAGTCAAAAGGGATGGCAAATACCAAAGCTAAAAGGTAAAATAGACCATGATTTGCTCAGTACTGAGTAGAACAGCAGTGACCAATTTCAAGAGCTTGCTAAGTACCAGGTACTCACAACAACCCTATGAGATGTTAACCTCTCAACCAACCCTATAAAGTAATGCTGATATGAACTGTCTAGAGTTTATCTTTTTTTTTTTCCTTTAGAACTTTTTGAAAAGCAGCTAGCTTTCCAAGGACTGTTAATCCTGGGAAAAGCTTACCCAGAAGTACATAAGCTACTTTCCTTTATGCTTTAAAAAGGACTTATTAGGAATTGCTTTAGAAAACACCATAAGATACCTAAGAATAAACCTAACCAAAGAGGCAAAGGATCTGTACTCTGAAAACTACAGAATACTCATGAAAGAAATTGAGGAAGACACAAAGAAATGGAAAAACGTTCCATGCTCATGGATTGGAAGAACAAATATTGTTAAAATGTCTATGCTACAGGCGGAGCGAAGATGGGAACCGAGATCAGTCCTGAGCTCTAGCTGCCACTGCTCTTGCGCTGCTGCCTCATGGGCAGGTCTATTTCTAGGGCAATTTAGGAGGTTCTATTGTTAATCCTCTCACCTTTAATGTATAACTACACTGTTGCATTTGAAGACATGAGATCAGATTCTGAGTTCTAAAGACAGCCTTTCTATTAAAAATATATTTGAGAACAGGTTGAACGTGGGCACATATCCTAGAGTGCTGTTTTCTAAGACTAACAGCCACCACAAGAGATTTTGGGGTGGGAAATTTGTTTATGAATATATTTTATGTATCTTTTAAAACTTCAACTTTTTAATAAGTGAGGGAAATTTTTTACATGTGAAGTGGTTAGATCTTAAGTGTATAGTTCAATGACTTATGACAATGTTTGCACTTGCATAACCAACAGCCAACTCAAGATAGAAAACATTTCCTTCAACCCAGAAAATTCCCTTGTGCCCCCTTCCAATCTTTCCCCACCATCAGCAACCACTTCTTTAATTTCTGTCACTATGGATTACTTTTGCTTGTTCTTGAACTTCACATAAATGTAATCATATAGTATATACCCTTGTGTCTGACTTGTTTGCTCAACAGAGAGTTCTAGAGATTTATTTATTTATAATGTTGTTGACTATATCAGCAGTTCATACATTCTTATCATGAAGTAGTATTGCATTATATAAATATAATACAATTTGTTTATTCCTTCTCCTATTAATAGACATTTGGTTTGTGTACAATGTTTGTCTATTATTTAAAAAGCTACTAAATACATTCTTGTAAAAGTCAAAAAAAAAGTCTATGCTACACAAAGCAATCTATACATTCAATGCAATCCCTATCAAAATACCATCAACATTTTTCACAGAGCTAGAACAAATAATCCTAAAATTTGTATGGAACCAGCAAAGACCCCGAATAGCCAGAGGAATGTTGAAAAAGGAAACCAAAGCTGGTGGCATCACAATGCCAGACTTCAAGCTCTATTACAAAGCTGTAATCAAGACAGTATGGTACTGGCACAAAAACAGACACATAGATCAATGCAACAGAAGAGAGAACCCAGAAATGGACCTCAACTCTGTGGTCAACTAATCTTCGACAAAGCAGGAAAGAATGTCCAATGGAAAAAAGACAGTCTCTTCAACAAATGCTGTTGGGAAAACTGGAGAGCCACATGCAGAAGAATGAAACTGGACCACTGTCTTACACCATACACAAAAATAGACTCAAAATGGATGAAAGACCTAAATGTGAGACAGGAATCCATCAAAATCCTAGAGGAGAACATAGGCAGCAACCTCTTTGACCCTGGCTGCAGCAACTTCTTGCTAGACACATCTACAAAGGCAAAGGAAACAAAAGGAAAAACAAATTATTGGGACTTCATCAAGATAAAAAGCTTTTGCTTGGGCACCTGGGTGGCTCAGTCGGTTAAGCGTCTGCTTTTGGCTAAGGTCATGATCCCAGGGTCCTGGGATCAAGCCCCACGTTGGGCTCCTTGCTCAGCAGGGAGCCTGCTTCTCCCTCTCATCCCTGCTTGTGCTCTCTCTATCTCTGTCTCTTGCTCTTTCTCAAATAAATAAATAAAAATCTTCAAAAAAAAGAAAAAAGAAAAAAAAAAAAGCTTTTGCACAGCAGAGGAAACAGTCGACAAAACCAAAAGACAACCTACAAAATGGGAGAAGATATTTGCAAATGCCTTATTAGATAAAGGCTAGTATCCAAGATCTATAAAGAACTTATCAAACTCAACACCCAAAGAACAAATAATCCAAGCAAGAAATGGGCAGGAGACATGAACAGACATTTCTCCAAAGAAGATATCCAAATAGCCAACAGACACATGGAAAAATGCTCAACATCACTTGGCATCAGGGAAATACAAATCAAAACCACAATGAGATACCACCTTACACCAGTCAGAATGGCTAAAATTAACAGGTCAGGAAAGGACAGATGTTGGCGAACACAGGAGAAAGGGGAACTCTCCTACACTGTTGGTGGGAATGCAAGCTGGTACAGCCACTCTGGAAAACAGTATGCAGGTTCCTCAAAAAGTTGAAAATAGAGCTGCCCTATGATCCAGCAATTGCACTACTGGGTATTTACCCCAGAGATACAAATAGAGTGATCCAAAAGGACACAAGCACCCCAACGTTTATAGCAGCAATGTCCACAACAGCCAAACCATGGAAAGAACCCAGATGTCCACCGACAGAAGAATGGATAAAAAAGATGTTGTGTATATATATACAATGGAATATTACTCAAACATCCAAAAAAAAAATATCCTGGGGCACCTGGGTGGCTCAGTCGGTTAAGCATCTGCCTTCGGCTCAGGTCACGATCCCAGGGTCCTGGGATCAAGCCCCACACTGGGCTCCCTGCTCAGTGGGGAGTCTGCTTCTCCCTTTCCTGCTCCCCCTGCTTGTGCTCTCTTCCACTTTGTCAAATAAATAAATAAAATCTTAAAAAAAAAAAATCTTGCATTTGCAACGACATGGATGGAACTAGAGGGTTTTACGCTAAGCAAAGTAAGTCAGAGAAAGACAATTATATGATTTCACTCAAATGTGGAAATTAAGAAACAAAACAGAGGAGCATAGGGGAAGAGAGGGAAAAATAAAACAAGACAAAATCAGAGAGGGAGACAAACCATAAGAGACTCTTAACCATAGCAAACAAACTGAGGGCTGTTGAAGGGGGGGTGCGGAGATGGGGTAACAGGGTGATGGACATTAAGGAGAGCACAGGATGTAGAGAGCACTGGATGTTATATAAAACTGATGAATCACTGACCTCTACCTCTGAAACTAATAATATACTATGTTAATTAATTGAATTTAAATTAAAAAAGGAAACACCTGAAAGAAATGGAATGGCTTTATAAGGTCCTTGGGATAAATCAGGGAGAAATAAAGTGCTTTTAAATTTAACAAAACGATAGATTATGCTTTAATTATAAATACAGTAAAGTAAAAACTTCAAAACTCTGTCTTTCCCTGTTTCTACTTTTAGAACCTAACTTCACCGAGAGGCACTAAAATTACAGCAGGAAGATCAGGAGCTCTGAAATCAGATGTGCATCTGAACACTGGTTTCACCACATATTAACTGTGACCACCGATAAAATTAACTTTGAATTTGTACATCTACAAAATGGGGACGATATCCTCCTCCATGGATTGTCATGAAGAATAAATAAGAATACGTTTTATGTAGATCATTTAGCAGATGTAGGCTCCTTGCTTATTTCTCCTGTCCTTCTATGTCTATCAGGCCAAAGGGGTTTGCCTTACTTTCTTTGATGCTGCTTCTGCAGGGCTGCCTCTGATAACTGTCCCTGAAGGATCAGTCTTCTTTGCTTGTCAATATCTCCTTCCATTCGAGCAAAAGCATGAGAGCCGATGAAAGAGAGGTCAACTCCCAAGCCCTCAGCCTCCTCTTCTTGGCTGTCTGTAACAAAAATACTATAAATAGAGAGCTTACGACAAAACTTGACAGTAAATGCTACATTGTGAATGCTGCAATAGGGATGACTATGACATAATAAAAAAAACTAGGGTTGAGGGTATATTTTTGAGAATCAAACTGAAATCAGATTCATATCTGAAGAACTGAAATAACGCAAGAAACCACCTGTCCCTGTGTGACAGAAGTTTTAGGAATACATGAAATCAAATCAAGATGACCTGGGTGTAATTGAGGAAGGAAAGAACAAAATGTAATGATAAGCAAAAAGATAGAATTAATTACACTTTATGTAGGTTTAAAGAAGGGCTATAGCACTGCATCTAACGAAAGAGAAATATAAAGAACAAATGTTTGGGGTCATTTATCCAGAACTACTTAAGGAGGGAGCACATGATAAATTGACACAAAAACTGGAGTCCTTTTGTCAGATAACTCTCAATGGCAGAAGGCTGGACCAGGACTGCAGAGTAGGATCCACATTCATAAGATACGTTTTCATTCTAATTTAGCATCCTGGTTTTCTGCAGTCGTCATACTGACATAATCATCTGACCCATAAGAGTTCCAGTTTTCACTACAAATTATTTCTAATCTATCCAAATGACCATTTTATGTTTGGCTAGAAGTCAGTACTTTGGGAACAGGTCATCTCTTAGTGTGTTCCCCACTGCTTTACTAGCTTTGTTTAAGAAAAACAAAAAAACCCAACTTTTTTTTCTTAAACAACAAAAAATGCCTTGGACCGTGGGGAGCTTCCCAAGGCAATGCCACTACTTGAAACCCAGTCAGGTGGGCCATCCAGCTGGGATTTTCTTATATCTATTTCACCCTCCTTAAACTGTGACAGGCCAACGGCTGAAAAGAGTGTGCTTTTACGAAAAATACCCATGAACAAATCAAGTAAAACTGATTTTACATCTATTTTAACAGACTGAACATTCTAATTGAAAATATTTATGAATACTAGGTCTTACATCTATGAGGTAATTAAGCACTCTTTGAAAATGGTAGACCCAAGGAACCCTTTGGTTAATGAGTTAGCCTAATCTACTGCCCAGAATTACGATCTCAAATTGGGTTTGCAATTATTACTCCTTGTCATACAAAATGCATTTATGCATTTAGGAAAAACTATATTCTACAGTGGTGGTCATGATCATGAGGATTCCCAAATAACTCTGGGCATACCCTAAAGTACATGGGTAGCCCTCCAGCAAAGCTTGGTTCAGGCATTTCCTGATGGTACACCACTTATAATTCCCTCCATTTGACTTAAGGCTGTGTACTGGTGATAAAAAGGAGATGAGCAGCCCTCTACAGATTTTAACTTGATGCTCATTTAAAAGCGTTCATGGTAGGAATCTCATAGTAATTCCTAAGCTGCCGAATTTTCAGAGCAAGTTCTAGCACTGAAGCTTGTGAGGCATGTCTCCATAACTCCACACAAGGAGTTATGACCTCAACCGTGTACCCATGAAGATCATTATTAGCTGTCATACAGCACAGATTCAGAAGGGCTCCCATCCTACCGTGCTCTACCATTGCTTCAAACTACATGAGAATATAACCTAAAGAAACAAAACAAGTGTTAATGGTATTCTTGTCTTAGTATTTAATGTTAGGTCTGGCTTTTGGAGGATATTGTTAAAGCTGCTGAAAATTTTAGATGATTATGTACTTGATTACTGTCTCAACAGGGTCCTGCATACAACTATAAACTTCACGAGGATGCAAATGTTGTTATATCCACCTCTGGATCTCTACTGCCTAACAGACTTGATGTTGTGTGTGTGTGTATAAATATATATATTTTAACTTAAAAGACTAAATTTTAATAAGAATAAGACTCAAAACATCTAAGTTGGTCTTGAACTTAATGTTACACCCATAGAGAGCTCTCCGAAGGTAGACTGAACTTTCTCCTCATTGGTGGTTATCAGTCCCCGATAAAAGAGGGAAATTAAGAAAAGCAGAACTCACCCTCCGGGGCACCAGGTTTTTCACTTATTCTAATCTGCCGTTCAGGTACCACAGGCTCCCCTTCTGCATTTCCAATATCTGCAGGTAGGTATGGCAATGATCGACATTCCTCCTTTAGTGACCTTGGGAAGTACAGAGGTAGCAGCTTTTGGTAAGTAGCCTGTGTCAGAAAAGCAAGACATTCTGTGAAAAATAATGAAGTAATGAAGCACGCCAGCTTAGTGCTGTTCCAGACACAGCGAAGAAAGCCTCCATCAAGAATAAAAACCTAAGCTCAACTAGATGCTATCTGGGACCCTCAAGCAGTTCTTATGTTAAAGGTCAGGATACTGTCAGGTGGTCAAGTTAAACGTGACTCCCATCCTGGCAACTTCAGGTCAGCGAACCTGGAATGCATAAGTCCTGCCACTCCTGTCCTACTGTCATTTGCCCCTCCCCAGGAATATCTTTATTTATTTTTTACGATGATTTCAAGTTTATCACCTCCCATAGGAAGCATTTCCTAACCCTGTGCAGGCTGGAGTTCCTATCTATTCCATACCTCCATTAATGCACTTACCATGATTATCATAACTTATCTGAACTGTCTGTCCCCACCAATAGACAATGGATTCCTTGAGGACAATGACCCTCACTTGTTCACTGGCGTATTTCCAGAATCTAGTGTAATAAACCTGGGTGCTACAGACACTCAATAAAAGATCACTGAATGAATAGGTAAACCAGATAAAACAAGAAGAGATAGCAAACAAGCAAATGTGCCTCATTTTAGCAATTTCAAAAGTATTTATATATCATGTATATAGCTATTAATACCATGAATGGATATTTCACATGTGTTAACTCATTCATCACTAAACTCCTGTGGTGTAAGTACTACTAATACTCCTATTTTATCAAAGCACAGACAGGTTAAGTAACTTGCCCAAGGTCACAAAACTGCAAAATAATACAAGCTGAACTGGATGGAGCATACTAAAACTAAATAAAATTTAAAAAGGGTTAAAAAAAATAAAGCCATAAAAAAAATAAAAAGGGTTAAAAAAACCCCTCATTTTCTAAAATGGTTCTAAATTAAACTGAAACATACTAAACCTAATTACACACAACAAAGCAAAACATAAACCTCACAACTTAATCAATGCTAGTCACTAGGCTAGGCTGTCATGTTTCCAGGCAAGGTAGACCCAAAGCTTTTCCAGCACAGCAATTTTCTAGTTATACTGCCCAAGCACCCAGTACTCAGATTATAAGGTGATGCCTCGAGAGGTTTTAAGAGCTAATACAGGGAGCAAAGCAGAACAACTCCACCTTGTAAGATTTCACTAAGTGAAAACAGTTTAGCAGTAAAAACATTATCAAAATGCTCCTTCTTGACTTGTTTTTAGTATCTAATATGCGTTCGTTTCGACAAAGGATGGTAAGCCCCACTGCCAAATACATACACAGATACCTAGGATTTGCCTGCTGACAATTCAGTAAATAGAGAATGATGAGACAAAGGCAAACAAGTAAAAATAAGATTTAAACAATGAAACATAATTACAAAATACCTCTTCTAGTTCAGAGACAGCAAATACTACTTTTTCAATGGTCTCCCCATGAATTTCTAGGAATCTCCTTACAGTGCCTAAGGAAAGGAATAGAAAAAGTGATTCAATAAATAAGAAATACCTGTGTGAAGAAAATTCAAACTCTTCAAAGTTTTATTTTTATAATGGATCACTACTCATTTCAGTCAGGTCTCTCTGCTCAATGACACCTCATCAGTGAAGCCTGCCCAGAGTACCATATTTAAAAATCCTTCTCTGATTTGCTTTCCTCCAGAGCAAATATTACATTTTGTGGAGTTTATTTTATATCTTCTCTGCCCTCCCTCCCCCATCTGCTAGAATGAAAGTACCTCAACAGCAAGAGCTTTATTTACTGCGTTATTGCCAGCTTCTAGAACAGTGCCTGGCCATAGAAGATGCTGATTCCAGACAATTCTTCCCTACCCAGTATATTTTTATTCCCTGGGGCCTCTCTCTCTGACCATTTAGCTAACAGTATTCAATGACCTACTCAGCACTGCATCCCTGTCAAAATCCCATTGACCAAAGGTGAATTATTTTTTTTGATTTCTATGTTATCCTAATTCTTCCCTATCAATTTCCTATCAATGAATCCTAATGGCCTTTTCTTAGTCCTTACCTCACTAGAGATTTCATTAGCTTTACTTTTATGTGCCCATGCCCTACCTTTTAAAATGTTGTCCTCCACGTTTCTGTCCTCCATTTATTTTCTTGATATATATATATATATATAAAGAAATAGATCAATTTTTGATATCAATTCTTGATATCATCAATTCTTGATAGCAACATCATCAATATCAAGAAATATATATATATGTATGTATATTCTCTTTAGCTCACCAATTTGCTGGCTTAGCACCAATGTAAATATTTATATTCTCAAATCTTTATATTCTGTTTTCTGAATAAAAGAGCTGAATTCCCTACTGCCTACTGGGCCTATCTGCCTAGATAACCCAGAGGCCTCAAACTCTGAAGGTCCGAAACTGACCTCCATCTTTTCCAGCCAAAATCTGTTCCTCTACCCATATTCTTTATTTTATCACATAGCAACATCAAATCACTCATCCAAGCTCAAATCCTGAATTTTTTTTAACACCTTTTTCACCTCTTCCTTCATCCTGCATTTTCAATGGGTTCTCATATCCTTTATTTCTACTGCTATTTCTAACATCCATTCCTTCTCTCTTCCAGCTGCTCTCAGGATCTTAATGCTCATGAAGCCTTCAGCAATAAGCTCTTGTTTTCTTGTTTCTCTCTTTTCCAGGTCTATATATTCACTGTTGCTTGAGTTACCTTCCTTCCCTTGTCACCCTCCTTACTAAGTAATTCTGAGGCTCTGCACTGCTTGTAGATTAGGATCTAAGTCCCCAGCAAGGTTCGCCACACTTGGACCTCAACTGGCCACCCCTCCAACCCTGCCCTTTAGTCCTATTTCCCACTATTCCTCCCACAGGCCTTACTTTCAGCAAATTGGCTTCTTTGCTGTACTCAGAATATTCCACTTAACTTTCATGCTACCCTGCCTCTGCTTGCATGGTTACCTTTGACTAGAATACCATTCATTCACCATGACCTTCTATTAGTGAAGTCCTACTCATTTTTCAAGATCCAGTTCAAGGCCATCTGGTTTGTACAGAACTCCATCCTTCCTTGTGTTCCTTCTGTAACCTGAATGGCCCTCCATTTGTGAACTTCTCATTGCATTTTATAGCTAGACTGTGAGCTTTCTGAAGGCCAAGTATATCTTACATTAATATTACCAGAACCTAGCACATCTTAAGATATGGCAAACAACTGTTCAAAAATAATTAGTAGCTGGAGTAACATTTTATGGGTCTGGTTATCTACATATTGCCTACCTTGTTTACTACTGTATCTCGAGAATCTAAGACCCATTTGTTGAAGGACTAAACTATTTAGAATTCTTCCTCTGTTAGGTGACAAATTTATTTTTCATTTCTCTCTCTATTCTGCTTTAATGATTTTCTAAAACTGAATTTTCCAAAAGGGATTTTCTTTTATTTTGACACCAAGGTTTTTTCTTTTTTTTTTAAGATTTTATTTAGAGATAGAGTGTGCGCGAGCGTGTGTGAGCAGGGGGAGGAGCAGAGGAAAAAGGACAAGCAGACTCCGCACTGAACACGGAGCCCGACATGGGGCCCGATCCCACGACCCTGAGCTGAAACCAAGAGTCGGACGCTTAAGCGACTAAGCCATCCAGGCACCCTGACACCAAGTTTTAATTAATGTTCACATATAGTGGTTTCCCAGCATACAATTGTAGGATTTCCAATGGAAGACAAAATACAATACCAGAGAGTAACCAAACTGAATTCCCTCAGCAGAATTCATTAAGAAAAGTAATTCTGCAAAAAAGAGAAAACAGAGTGATGTCATGGCTATAATATTTTAGTACCAACTGCCAATTCAAATGGTTTCTTTCAGAGTTTCATCTGTGCACTATTCTTTGCAACCAACCAGGATGTCATGAACCTAACTTTTAGTGAAAACCCTTTAACTGGGGAGAATGACATCTGGGGCATTAAAATTCCCAACATGGAAACACAATAAGAACAAACAGCGTCATCCTTTTTCTCACCACTGTATTCTCTTTTATATAGCACAGGGTCTCCTACAAAATCACTAAAAATTTTGCTGAATTAATAAATAACCTGATGAATTTATTTCAATGCAGAGGTTTCTTTAGGCTTCTAATGGAGAAGAATTGAACTGTAAATGAACCAAGAAAAAAAAGACAGTCTTGATATATCTATCAGAGGATATTCCTTAGGTTTCAAATGAAATAAATTTTGGTAATAGTTTAATAAGTAGGAAAGAGTTTGGTACTAAGGACTTAGAGTTACATTTATTAGATTTGTTCTTGGCCCATATATGCTGCAAAAGTATACAAGCCATTGATTTCCCAAATGCTCAGAAAGTGTGTGAGCAAAGGCCACAACTGTTTATATGTATTTTTTTTTTAATGAGATGCTACAGTTTTACTATCAGATTTAAGGTGCAATAAGTCAAATAGGCCTTATATAAGTTGACTTGTCCATCTTTGTTTTCCATTTCACTTGTGCTAATTCAATTCTTAGAAATTGCTTCATCTAAGTCCCTTAGGCCACTGTTGATTTTCACCTGCTCTTACTACAATTACTGCTCAAAGTTAACACCTCTAGGGTAAATCGAGTGATTTATCAAGTGATTTAGCTTGGGAAACAGAGATGGTGAGACTGGTAGAACTGGGATCAAAAAACAGTCTTCTGGACTCCTTTTTCAGATGCTTTTCTATAAAATGTTGCTTCCTCTTTGAATTCTGACCTATATGATTACTTTAATAAGAAATAGAGACATAAAAAAAGACTTAGCTCAAGGTATGGGATGATGGGGCAAGGACTAAGGAATCAGAGAATGTCAAGACCTGCCAAGAGCTTTGCCAAAAAGAATTACACAAAGGCAGGAACTTTGCTTTGGTAAGGCACCATTCAGAATATATGCAGAGTATCGATAACATATGAGTTTCCTACTGAAGTAGTTCTAACCTCAAGCATAATTGAATTATGTAGTATAACAGAGAAGTTACTAGACTTGGGAGTCAGGAATCTACATAACCTTGAGAACATGATAAACTTCTGAGCTTCTTTATTTGTAAAATGGACACCTGAAACACAGGGCTGTTGAGGAAACAAAATGGAACTTCTTTATGCCTTTTTAAAACACGTATTTCTTAAGCAAGTATCATAGGTAAAGCATTCCTGACATATGAAAGCACTGGAAATGCAAAGATGAAAAGATTTCTGCTCTTCAAGAAGCTCAGTCTAATATATATAAATCATAACTATAAAATATTAAATTTACTATAAGATCCTTGACTTCTAAATCTTAAGTCTTAGAAGTAGCTAATTATTAAATAAGATTACTTATGTCATAACTGACCTTAAATTCTAGGCTATAGACTTATAGGCTAATAATAATTTTATACATTGGAATATCTCTGTAATTTTTTGGTGGATGTAAGACTTTCAGCTCCTCCTCTTTAAATTCTAGAGATAGAAAGGGGTCTTAAAGATCATTTGGTGTAGTTTTCCTCTTCAATGAGGAGTATCTGCAACAGATGGTCATTTAGCTTCCGCATTAATATTCCCAGTGACAAGAAGTTCACTTAAAATACCTTTCCATTACAGAGTCCTATCTCAAGTGGGACCAAGTCTCTTTCTTTGTGACATAGTCTTTGACCTGCCTTCTACCATTGGAGGTCTTATCTACAATCCTTACCAGAATCTATGAGCTTCCTGAAATTGCACACAAATTCCCTCTATATGTACATTCCTCTGGGGAAAGGGTCCACAGCTTTCCTTCAGCAGATGCTCAATGTAATTTACGATGGCTCCCAAAATGGTTCAGAACACTGCTCTCAAAATGTAGCACAGAATAAGCTCACAATGAGACTCCTTTAGACATTCGAAGATGAGAACCATATATGCTGAAACAATGCATGGTCTTCTTTAGGAGAAATACCACTAATGTTTCAAACTGTTTGCTCTCCAGTTTGTCAGTGTCTCATATTAGACAGGACACCCAGAACTACATACAGATGCGCAGATGTGGTCTGAACCTGCATATAATACAGTGAGATCATGGGTTCTCTCGAGCTAAACATCCTATTTTTATATCACATATATGACATTCTGTCTCATTATGATTGAGCCCAGTCTTTTTTAAACCTCAATGCAAGGATTTATACTCAAGTAGCACCTGTGAAAGCTGCTGTTTCAACTACAAAGTGCTATATAAATATTATATTATGAAATCTCTTTTGGATTCATTGTTACAGCCTGTTATAATTATTCTGAATATTGATTCAAATACCCAATGCGTTGGCCATAGTTCTTGGCCTGGTATCATTTCCCAATTTAATAGGCAAGTCTGTAGGAGAAAAGAGGAGAAAACGTCAACCTGAGAAAGTAAATCGAGCTCAGCAACTTAATACAAAGTTCTTTCCAGGATGCCATGATCTGTTCATCAAGAGATCTTCTTCAGCTATAACTACTTAACTAGTTACAAAAAAAATCTGTGTAAGACTCAATTTATGTACAGCATCCCAATCCTACTTACAAAGTGCTCAATGTATGCACAGCATCTCCAATGTTACTTACGAAGTGCTATGTGTGTTGCATCCTCTAAAGGATAACCTCGTTTTGCAGAATTGATGACACAGAATCCCACAGAAGACATTGATTGCTCTCTGCAATCAAACAGAAAACACAAACCACCAACATCCATAATACATACATATGTAAATAATTTAAAAATGCAGCTCAACTTCTCTTTCCCTGCCCCCTCAACAAATCTATTATAACAGGTAATCCACTTGCACTTTTTAATAATTACATCAATATTATAATTGTACCATTTGGGGGAAATATATTCCAAGTAAAGACTGAGTAAAATGGGAACAGGTTAAATTCTTTAGTCACCCAAATCCACTCCTTTTATCCTGCTAAGGTGTGAAGATAATTAATTTTATCTTCAGAGTCCTCTAATGTGATTTAAATCCCTCAAAACTGACTTCCACAGCTAGGTTTCATTCTGAAGCTGGGGCCTTTCACAGTATACGGCATGCTGCTTCCAGGAAGTGAGTAAGCCGTACTTGGCCAGCTGAAGCACGTTTCTGTAGCAGCTGTACAGGGAACTCTCAGCAGCTGTGCGGTAGCGGCTCTTGTATTTAGGTCCCACCGTGTGAATGATGAACCGGGCAGCTAGATTAAATCCTTTTGTCAGTTTGGCTTCACCTGTCCGGCAACCTGGGAACAATGGAGCGCACGTAAGTCATGGAGGTGTCAAGAAAAAAAAACAAAGTCAACAGAACAAGGCATGAAACAGAAAAGTAGTAAGAATTTTGAGAAATTTCAATGAAAAATATGGATTGAACACAAACATTTATCTCTGTTCCCAAAATGACAGTGAAGCAATACAATAGGTATAAAAAACAGAGACAAAGAGAATGGGAGAGGGCACGAAGCAGATAGGCATCATCAGAATTTTGGAAGGCAGAAAGTCAGTGGCCTCGAAATAACTCATTTAGCAAGCAGAGAAACCTAACTGCTCGTAGAAATAGGGTCACCAATATGAAGCAAGCTGGTCTGTACTGAAAGGCAGTGTTGGATTCAAGATAAACTGCTTTGATTCAAATCTTGAGTCTTCCACCTTCCTGCTGTGCCACATGGGCAGGTGCTTGGCCTCTCCATGCCTCGTTTTCCTATTTAATGGGAATACTACTGGTACTTACTTCACAGGTCTAAATGAGTTAATACATGCAAAGTACATACATGCATTATCTATTATTCTTATTGTTATTATTATTACAGAACAGTAGAAAGGCTCAAAAAGTGGAAACCTACGTACTTCTAAAAGCTATGACGTGAAGTGGGACTAAAGAGAGGAGGCTGAGTTAAATTTGCATAGAAACAGTCAAATCTGCAACAACCTTTTCCTCAGCCAGCACAGCGAGGTGATGATTTATCACCATAGCAGCAGGAAGGTTTACTCTCTAGAGATGCTGAACTAGAGTTTCTGGACCCCAGAACCTCAGGCATGGCTGAAAAGACGGGATTTAGTTAAAGTGTTACACTCAACAGTGATAGCTCTAGCCCTCTGCTCCTAATTGGCTTCTGAAACACAGACACCCACACTTACACCCCTGAAAGATTCCTTTCCAGGAAACTAAGAGGCCCAAACCAAAGGACTCACAGATTGTGACAACTAAACAACAGGGCTCCTGCTCATCCTCTGCTTCTAGATCCACCAAGCAGTAACTCTTGCCCACGCACACAAAGCTTCCCTTCACTTTCTCAGTTCCTCCCTCATAAATACAATTGGCACACTGACACTCAAGGATCACCAAGAAGCGAGCAAAGCCTCTGGCCACAGGGGCGTCAAAGCAATGCTCAAAAAAGAGAGAATGCAACTCCCAATACCATAATCACTACTGTCAGAGAGGTAAGAGAAGATATAGTATCTCTGAAACAAAACCAGAATGTTGTAAGAAAGAAATATTCAGAGAACAGGAAAAAGTGCTTATACAATTTATAGCCAAGTAAAAAACATGATAGCAGTAACAAAAAGTTCAACTGGTGGGTTAAAGCTAAAGTTAAGGAAATCTTCCAGAAAATAAAAAGCTGGAAAATAAATAATACATGAAAATTGGAGGATTAAACAAGGAGGTACAACATCCAATAGAATTTCTTCAAAGAGAGAACAGAGAATACAGAGGGAAGGAAATTAGGAAAGAAATAAAACAAGAAATTTTCTGGAACTGAAAGATAAGTTTCTAGACCAAGGAGCCCACGGGATACCCAAACCACACCAAGGCACCTCACTATGAAATTGAGAACACCCGAAATAAGACGAGATCATAAAGTTTCCAGAGAAAAAACCAGTAACATACAAAGAATCAGGAATAAGAATAGCATCCGATTTTTTTTTTTTTTAGCATCCGATTTTTTAAGAGCAATAATAAAAATTGGGAGCAATGCCTTAAAAAACCTGGAAAATGATTAACAACTTAGAGTTTCATTTCCAACCAAACTTCTAATTAAGTATGAAGGTAGAAGATCTCAGCAATTTTGCCCCCATCCATCCTCAGAAATCTGGTAGATTTACTCACAAAAATTAAGGAGTATATCACAGAAGAGAAAGGCATGAGATCTAGAAAATGAGGGGATCCAATCCACTAAATAGAAAAAAGGATTTCCTAGGATGTTAACTGTACAACAGGCATAAAGAACAGTCTAGAGAGGAAAGAGGATGGGGGATTCCAGGAGGGACCTTATCAAGAAAAAAATGGAGCTGAAAGATAAACAGAAGTTTTGACTTTACTGAGAGGTTTACACTTAAAGTCTGGGATTGAATCAATAAGTTAATTAATTAGAAAATTAAGTAATCAGATCAATAACTTAGAGGAAAATAATTGTACAAAAAGAACACTAATCAGTTTTGTAATCAGTGGCGAGTAATATTTATACATTCATAATGTTAATGCTGAATGCGGATTTAATAAAAATTTGACAGGCCAATCTGGGAAGGTGGTGAAGAAGGAAGAAAATGTGAGTGTTTTATGTACAGGCAAATGAGGGGAGTGGATGAACAAGAGTTTAATCTTTAATTTCCACAATAAGAAGTAAACAGGGGAAAAAAAATCAATACAATAGTTGTAGCATATTATATGGAAACAGAAGGTAAATAAAATAAGGAACTTAAAGGTTTGAAAGTAGATGCCCCTGGAGAACAGAATCAAGGCAGGAAAGGGAAAGGCAGAGAACTGTAGCTTTCCTTTGTACATAAAATTCTTTAACTTTTAAAACCACATATACGTTGATCCATGAAAAGCCATAAGCACAAAGTGACACTCAAAAAAGAGAAAGGCTTTTGGAAAACCCTCATTTGGCACCACTTGAGGCAGCTATTAAACCAATTCTTTATTTTGAAAAATGGTAATTAAAAGAAGTAAGCATTTACCCTGCCCTCTTACAGAAACTGTAATCCAGAGTAACCACATGTCAGTTATTGAGGAAAGACTCTACAGGAATGTAACCATGGATATAAGGACAGGTTTTAGAAAAATACAACTTCACAATCTTAATGAAATTACTGACTCAGACAAGGACTATATAAATAGTTGCTAAAACCATTATGTGAACGTGTGACAGAGAACTGGACATTCATAGAGCTTAAATAACCCCATATTGATTACTTTTCAGTCACAAAGGGTAAAACAACTGCATAAATAGAAGAATCAAGTTGTCATCACTCTATAACAGAGAACCATCTTAGTGTTAGTAATGGTTCACTAATGGGTCAATCAGATTTTATATATCTTCCAATACGATACATTAAGTATACAATACAATAATCACCTATGGAATGCTTAAGACAAACCTGATTCCATTAGATATAACTTCTAGGTTATAGGAGATACAAGGGATAAAGCAACAAACCAAATGGCACCTCAGGGTAATGAGATAAATCCAGAAGGTGGGCCATCTTGGAAAACATTTTGGCCTAGTACTCAACAAGTCAGTGTCATAAAAAGGGAACTGAGTTGGATGAAAAAAAATTTTTTTAAGATACAACAATTAGAAGTATGACCCTGGATTGGATATTAGTTTGGACAAACTAGCTGCAGAGGGCATTTCAGGGTCAACTGGAAATTTAAAATATGATTTGGGTATTAGATGAAGTAATTTCTGAAACCAAAGGGTGGGATTCATTTGCTGAAGAAAGCAGAATGCAGAACAGTATGTGTACAATTATCTTATCGTAGATAAGGACTGTATACATATAATTATTTTATGCTGGTAACAAAATATTTAAGGATGTATGCATATGCCCACATATACCTACAGAAAGATCCAGAAGAATATGTACTATAGGACTAGTACTGGTGATCTTTGTGTGGTGGAAATGTTAAGTTTTCATTTATTTTGTAGCTTCTGTGCATATAATTTCTACAATTTACATTTATTGCTACTGTAAGTAGAAAACAATTATTCAAAAGAAATGATATATATATTAAAAAAATAAAGCAAGCAAGCAAACATGTATTTGGGCAATCAGTTTGCAGAATCAATCCTGAAGATCTCTGAGGGCAGACTACAGAAACAGAAAAGAATTGCTAAGTGTTCAAGATACTCTGGTTTTGGGAATCCCACCTTTCCTTTAATAATTGTTAACCAAAACTCAGAACTCTAGAGACTAGACTTAGGCTAAGTACTGTTGCATTGCTTCCTCATCTTCCATTTGTTCTCTCTAAACCGATTTCTTCTAACCCAAACCCAAATCCTGACATGATTATGAACAGTTAAAACACAGTCCTGAAAGTATTTTTTTTTTTTATTTTATTTTTTTAAAGATTTTTATTTATTTATTCATGAGAGACAGAGAGAGAGAGGCAGAGGGAGAAGCAGGCTCCCAAGGAGCAGAGAGCCCGATGCGGGACTCGATCCCAGGACCCTGGGATCATGACCTGAGCCGAAGGCAGACGCTTAACCATCTGAGCCACCCAGGCGCCCTGAAAGTATTTTTAATTCCTGTAAAACAAATACAAATTTACTGAGTAAGTTCAAGTTCACTCCAGCCATAACTCTGTCCAGTGCATCTTTTACCCTGACTACATCCTCTGCTAAGGAGCACCTGCTGCAATGATAACCTGAATATACCTGAGTACTAAAGATTAGTTAGGGCTCTTCAACTTCACTTACTTCTCTCTAAATCCCAACATCCACAGTAAGAAATACAAAAGCTGTCTTAATGTTTATAGCAAAGAGTCCTATTCATAAACTTAGCAATCAAAAAATGTAGTATATGTCTTCCCATCCTAGCAAACCTGCACATTTAATACCAAGTGATGGAACATTTAAGCAGCAAAACTATACAGTGATCCTGATGGGAGAAGAAAGTATTTTTCTCATTTTGCACAAGGAGATACTTACAGTGTTTAATATTTAAGTACTTAATTACATGTATTCTTGCCCAGAAACAAGTAAGCGAATTATCAGATGTTATTCTGACCCTAAGGCTGAACATCATTTATCAATCTCTCTCTTATCACACATTCTTTACCAAAACAACAGCCCCACACAGCTTTAGGTTCATAAAATTCCTAAATTCAAAGACTGGATAGAAGACTGAGATACAAGCACACAAATTTTTTTTTTTTTTTAATTTGGGTATAATACGCCAAATCTGCCCATTCCATTTTTAGGAAGCTCTATTTCTTAGAAAATTTTCTCTAAATGAACTGAAA